AGCAATGGTCAAAATAAACTAGAACTGGAGATAGGCTGGGCACAGGGAGGCTTATTAAAAGGTTATCTTTTGCCCTAACTGGTTTGGCTCAATGGATAGAGCGTCAGCCTGGAGGCTGAAAGGTCCAGGTTCGATTCCAGCCAAGGGCATGTACCCTGGTTGTGAGCACATCCCCAGTAGGTGGTGTGCAGGAGGCAGCTAATCGATGTTTCTCTCTCATTGATGTTTCTAACTCTCTTTTCCTCTCCCTTCCTCTCTGTAAAAAATCAATAAAATATATTTTTAAAAAAAAGAGGAACCCTCATTCATTGCTGGTAGGAATGTAAACTGGTACAGCCAGTATGGAGTTCCTTAAAAAATTAATAATAGTGTTATCATATGACTCAGCAACCCCTCATCTGCATATCTACCCCCAAAAAATTAACATTTATTTACAAAGATACATGGATCCCTATGTTCATTGCAGCATTATTCACAGGGGCCAAGACATGAAGACAACCAAAATGTCCTTCAATAGATGATTAAATAAATAAACTCATATTACATATGTCCCATTTTTCCCTCAATGACCTCTCTCAGCCCACCCCTACCCCCACCCCAAGCCTTCACCCCCCTATTGTCTGTGTCCATGGGTTATGCATTAATAACCATTCCAATAGGTGTGAGGTGGTATCTTGTGGTTTTGACTTGCATTTCCCTGATAATTGGTGATGTATCTTTTCATGTACCTATAAGGCCCTCTGTATGTCTTCTTTGGAAAAATGTCTTTAGATCCTCTGCCCCAGAGGTTCTCAAGCTGTGGATCGTGAACAATGAAAATACATCCTGCATATCAGATATTTACATTACAATTCATAACAGTAGCAAAATTACAGTTATGAAGTAGCAATGAAAATAATTTTATGGTTGGGGTCACCATAACATGAAGAACTGTATTAAAGGGTCGAGGCATTAGGAAGGTTGAGAACCACTGGCTCTAGGGCAGTCGTGATTTTTGTCTTTCAATCTGTTTATGTGACACATCACGTTTATTGATTTATAAATATTGTACCATCCTTGCATCCTGGAATAAATCCTACTTGTTTGTGGTATATGATATATTTTTTTTTAATATTTTATTGATTTTTTACAGAGAGGAAAGGAGAGAGATAGCGATAGAGAGTTAGAAACATCGATGAGAGAGAAACATCGATCAGCTGCCTCCTGCACATCCCCCACTGGGGAAGTGCGCGCAACCCAGGTACATGCCTGTCAAAGGCTTTTCCTGCATCAATTGATATGACTGTATGGTTGTTTTTCTCTCAATTTGTTTAAGTGATGTATCATGTTTATTGATTTTCTGATATTGTACCATCCTTGCATCCTTGAGAAAAATCTTACTTGGCCATGGTGTAGGGTCTTTCTGATGTACTGCTGGATCCGATTTTTTGCTAAGATTTAGTTGAGGATTTTGGTATCTATTTTCAGGAGGGATATTGGCCTGTAATTCTCTTTCTTTGTAGTGTCTCTATCTATTTTTGAATTAGGATAATGCTGGCCTCATAAAAAGAGCTTAAAAGTATTCTTTCCTCTTGGATATTTTGGAATAGGTTGAGGAGTATAAGTGTTAGTTCTTTGAAGGTTTGGTAAAACTCCACTGTGAAGCCATCTGGATCAGAGCTTTTGTTTGCTGGGAGTTTTTTGATTGCTGCTTCTATTTCATCATTTTGTTATTGGCCTATTCAGGTTTTCTGCTTCTTCCTGATTCAGTTTTAGGAATTTGATTATTTCATCCACATTGTCCAGCTTGTTGGCATACAGTTGTTAAGAGTATTTTCCTTTGTATTTCTGTGGTGTCAGTGGTTATTTGTCTGCTTTCATTTCTGATTTTATTTATTTGGGTCCTCTCTCTTTGTTTCTTGATGAGTCTGGCTAATGGCTCATCACTCTTGTTTATCCTTTCAAAGAACCAGCTCTTGGTTTCATTTGTTGTGCTTATTGTACCAATTTTCCAGCTTTGAGCTTCAGGTTTTCTAAATTAACATACCTTTTCTTACAAATTCTTATATAAACTTTCCTGATTTAGTTAAAGCATCTTCTGTTGATCTCATTTGCTGTGTAATTTTTGTCTTTTGCATCTGTGTCATCTTTTTACTTTCTGTTGCTACTGCTGTTGTGTGAATGCCACTTTTTAGATGTATGTCTTCCCTCTGTGAGCCTCATTTATCTCATCCATACTGGAGTTGAGTTAATATCTGTAGTGAACTGAGGACAGTCCCTGGAACTAAGAATGTTTAAGGTTAGATATTATGGTTCAGTCTCTAATTCACTCTTGCCTGGCCAATTACAATAATCTCTCTGTTTTCAGCATCCTGCAGCTGATGTCAGGTTAATTTTTTCAAAGTACAGCTTTGATTGTGGTATTCTTTTTAGAAGTCTTCAGGGATTCAGTTAAAGATTTGTCTTTGCCATTTCTAATGTTTCCTTCTGATGGAACAAGCTCCACTAGTGGTATTTCATGCCACCCCTTTTTCTCATTCTGCCCTTGACAATATGGAGTAAATTATCTGTTTTGAATTTGGGAAGAATAAACTGGCATACTTTGCTTAGTTCTACCTTTCCTGCTTATGGGACAGGCTGCCCACAGAGAACATGTAGGGATTGTTCAGTGCTGTCAATGCTTGGGAAGTCTGCCGGGGTCAGTTAACAGGCCCATTTGGCTTTCTTTCACCGAGAGAAAAATTCTCTTCCAATTTAGCCTTTATCAACAATAAAGGTAATTTTTTCTTATCTCCTTTGCTTTTTATTGTAATTTTTAACTTGCTTAGGGCCTGGATGGAAAAGAAAAAAAGGTGCTGCAATTTTTTTTTGTTCTCTTTTAAAACCCTCCCCCAAAGCTGCCTGCAAATAGAGTCCAAACATATTAGTTTGAGCTTTCTCTTAGGTAATTTGTACCTCAACCAAACTAGGTTAATGACTTTCCTTCATTTCTCTGCAAATTCCTGTCTCTGAATTTTTGTTCATCTGATTCTTTCTGAGTGAATTCCCTCTGTCTCTGATTATCTGCATCTTGTTTATCCTTCAGTATATACTATGAAATTCTTCCTATTTCTCTTAACTGAAATCAGTTTCTTCTTTATGTTTCCATTGCACTGAATTTGCTCCTTTTTTGGGTAATATTGTAGTTTTCTGTACTTTAGGTTGTTGTTTGCAGAAGTAAACCATTGAGACTAGTGACTGAGACTAGCCCATTTTCAAATATCTGCACATCAGTTTGAGTGTGTTGATCTTTGCGCGTCATCATATTCTTAACATTTGGCCCTAGCCTAAAATGATGGCCTTAGCTGAAGCTTTGATGTGAAGCATGTTGATTTTATATCTCTTCTTGGAAGGCAGCTATGCTCACCACTATACCACCAACGCTATATCTCTTCTTGATTTTGAGGATATAATTTCTTTGGTTTTCTAAGGTAGTGTTTTTCAAAATGTGTATGGTGAAATTAATTTATTGCAGTCAGTATTTAACAATATAAGGTATCAGTAGGTATTGCATGTACTAGTAATAAAGACACATTTTGTTTCCTTAGTTCTGGAGATAGACAGATATTTGCACACACACACAATTTCTTTCTGGGTAAAGGTCACAAAAAAGTTTGAAAACCAATGCTCAAGGTTGTGTCTGTGTCCTCTGGGCTTCTTATGCCCACATTGTGCTGTAGATTATACTAGTAGACCTACAGCGCGTACCTATAGACCCTGTCTAAGAGACGCGTACCAACTTTTCAGTCTTCTTTTACAAGCAGGAGATCACCCCACCCAGGCCTTGGCTTTGGTGGTGAGACTAGCTTCATTCTCCTGTTTTAGCAGGAGCACTTTCAGTGTTTATCTTATATGAATTGAACTGAGGACTATCAGTTTCTGCTTGCACGTAGAGCCCAGTGGACCTGTGGCTTCAGTTCTGCTTACTGCTTTGCATTTATGTTCTTTTCTAGGCCACAGAATTATTTATCTTGTTCTGAACTCAAGTGTGTTTTATATTTTGTATCTGTTTTCTGTTTGTCCTGAGCAGGGAGGTTGTGATGATTGGCAGCTTAATGAGCCGTCTTGACTAGAAGGCCTGAGAGTGTTTTAGAGATGGATTTGTGTTGATATATTTTATTTCTGTTTCATTCCTTTTAGTCACTGCATAGTCTTTCTTGTCTGTGACATACTGTAAATATCCATTTATTCTGGATAACTGTACATTTACATTGTTTGCTGTTTTTCACTACTACAAACAGTGCTAAATGAAGGTCCTTATATACACGGTAGGGCAAAAGTAGGTTTTGCAGTTGGGAATACTTGAAACACAGAGTTTATTTTTGTTTTATTTATTTATTTGTTTGTTTGTTTGTTATTGCATTTTCCATATGAACAGTGTATTTTTTTTCTCATGTACATGTGTGCAAATTTTGCTATGGTGCATATCTTAAAGTACTTTATCTTAAAGTAAAGTTGCTACAGGCACCTAAAGGGTGTGAAAGGTACGGAGTGGGCCCGGGTAGTGCACTTGTGACATGAGGCTGTAATGTATCAAAAAAGCTTTTATTTCAGGCACCTGGGTGCAGATGGGCTGAGTCAGCAGGGAGTGCAGGGACGGGGAAGACTTTTATCAGCTATTGCTGGTGACAAGCAGTTAGGCTGACGTAAGGCTCCGGTCCTTTGTCCCTCCCACCACCAGGTGTCTTCTGGTTATCTGAGCTATGCGGTATTCAAGTCTGCAAGCTTTCTATGATATCTGTTAACATATTAGGTGCCCAGCCTGTTTTGTCTTCCGGACGGAAAGTATAGTGTCAGTCACCGGTGACTGACTGGGCACTTAATGTGTTAAGCACAGTAAGTTTTTCTCTGTCCTGTTTTATTCTCTTTAACCCTTTCAGTATGTACCCATCCTATCTAATAAAAGAGAAACATGTTAATTAGCCATACGGCCGCTACCCTTCCCATTGGCTAATCAGGGAGATATGCAAATCAACTGCCAGCCAAGATGGCGGCCGGC